TGACTCATTTGTTACTTTTTTTTTTTTCTTTTTTGTGATAAATTAAGACATTTATTTATATCACTAGGAACCAGTTTATATCAATTATCAGTAGTGCATCCTACCATTTGCTTCTGTTTTGACTTCTTTCTCCATAAGCAAGTGGATTTTGTTTTGAGTAGTGCTAAGGCTAAGGGTACATCACCCCTAACACAAGGGTTGACATAAGGGCCAAGTTGGAGGGGCGCCACTTGGCCCTTATGTCAAGGGTTATGTTGGGGGTGATGTACCCCTAGCATAATTCTTTTGGTTTTTGCCCGTTCTCATTTATGTTCGGTTGCACTCTAGTAATTTTTCTTGACTAAGAATGGTTTGTTCTTTGCCAAATCAGAACGAAATAGCTTAAAATATCTTATTTTTGGAGCATAAACGATATCATACTAAACCCTATAATTCTATGAATTTAGGTATAACTACATAAATCCTTTTTCTCGCTCTATGGTTCATTGCTAGATCTATTTGATGATTGAAAGCAACTAGATTTTTAGCAACCACAAGAAGTTGTGTTAATTTGGTTTGAGCTTCCTCTTATAACCTGTTTCACTGATGTTACGTTACTCTTATGATCATAAGCTTGTTTAGGTTAATGCAAAATACTTCAATACCGCTAAAGTAGGCACCCTATCATTGGCTTTTTGTAGATCAATATATGATATATTGGAAAAGAGTTGTCCAGGATTTATTTCTTCTGCTAATACTATCTGTTTTGTTGGCAACATTTCCAGGTTCCTAGGGGTACTGATTCACAGTCACAGGGTGGTCCAGCGCAGGTCCCTCCTGCATTCAAGAACTTCTCCATGGCCCAAAAGGAAAAAACGCTTGAACAACTGATGCAGGATAATTGGCTGTGTTTGACACTAGATGGAAAAGTTGGACTTGGAGTTAGATCCTTTCTGGATCTCCGAAGTTGGTTCCGTACTAATGAGGTTCCTGCATGCGAAGTTTGCAACGAGGCTGCAGTGAAGGTTTGTGTTGTCTGAGATCTAATATTTAGTTTCTGGCGCCTAACACTGCATTTTTTTTAAAAAAAAATTCATGCTGCATAATTGCTATATGCTTTAATTGGTATTTCGTTTCATTAGAGAACATCACATGATCAGTTTTTGCTGACCAAGCCCCTGATTGGCTTTACAAAAAAGTACCAGAGTCCTTGGTTCTTCAATTTGACTCTTTCTCTGAGGAAGAATTGACATATAATTTATAATCTAGTTCACTGACCGTTTCTTGAGAAACATGGAATATACTTTACATAGAAGATCCAGACAAATCCCCAGCATCATGATATGCACCCTCTTCTCTCTCCGGGGGAAGGAAAAATTAAATTTCTGTAGCTCTAGACATAACCTACATATTTGATTGAATGCATTTGCAAATGAAGACAGACTTGTTAATTTATTTAACTTAATTGACCATCAAAAGGAGATATGTTCTTATTGTCGTCCAAAAGTGACTAAATTTTTGGACTCCTTTCTTATGCACCAATGGTTTAGTAGTAGGATTTAAGAGATTTGCTTAATTTTGCCATTGAAACTGATGTTTCTGTTACGACTATTTCGTGCAGGCTCAACTTTGCCCAAATGAAGGTTGTAATGTTAGAATGCATCCATATTGTCTGAAAAAGAAATTCTCACGAAAACAGGTATTGTTTGTTTCTGTTCATCACCTCTAGGACTTTCCAATCCCCTCAATGAGGTGGACTAATATGAATAACTTCGATATTCAGGTCGAAAGAGTTTGTCCCGGATGTGGAACAAAATGGCCCGGTTCAGCAGTCAAAGCAGAAGCTGTAGAAGAAGAGAACGATCCAAATCTTACTTCTCAGAACTCACAGCCCCCGGAACCTTCCGTGAGAGCAAAGCGTAGGATCCGAGAAGTTGGCATCAATAATGCAGAATCTGATTCTTGTCCAGTATCTGCATCTCTTCACGAGACGAAGAGAGTCACTCGAAATTCTGCCCGGCTGAAGAGTTTCAGATAATGTATCTGCTGTTTGCGTATGATTTTGTCCTTGCATTCCTAGGATAAACCTTGTCGATATGTTGTTTATATTTTGATCCTGTCCCTGAATTCCTAGGATAAAAGTTAAAACCCTGTCAAATTGCTCTTGCTTTGCAAGGTGACTCATGGAAGTGGCTTCAAACTGTAGTTTTGATAGTCTTGGCAGATTATTGGCTGTAGATGGTATCTGAATTAAGCTACTCGTACACCCATTATGTACAACTTTGTTTATATCCTCCCATGCGTCACAAATCTGACCATTGATTGAAAAGTTATTGTTAAATCCAATGTAGCAAAATCTGTCAATTCACATGGTGCAAGCCAAGGTGTCAACCTTGGTGTACATATAGCATGGTTCATGTTATCTCATGTCTGTATCAAGTACTTTATTGTGAATTTAATATATTTTTCAGTTATCTAAGGTGAATATTGCCAAATTTAATTGAAGGTGGGCTAGACCAGCCTGTCAGAAGAAGAGGAAATTACACAAAATCAGATTTTTAAAGATTCAATTTCAAAAATCAGACTAAAGGTTTTAACTTTTCAAAAATTAGACATTTTATTTTAAATATTAATTGTACAATTTTTATTTCAAACCCTAATCAAATTCATTTTAATTTTCTTCCTGCTCTCCTCTCTCTCTTCTCGCTCTCTCTACCTTCTCTCATCATCGTCACTCTCTCTTCTCCACTCTCTGATCTCTTCGCTCTCCGTTGATAGTCAGTCTATCCATTGTTGAGTCCAAATAGCCCATTCTCAAATTACAGCGGCCTAGATCGTTGGAAGTTTTGCAGATCTCGGGTAAGACCATTCCTTCGTTGTGAACGCCACTGAAGGCTCTACAGATTGCAGTTGCAACGACGTAGATCGCGGTGGTGACAGCACAGATCGTGGCTACAACGACGCAGATCGTGGTGATTTTTTTTTTTTAATTGTTGGATGTGGCAGTAGTTTCTATGATTTGGTGACTTTAGGGGTGATGTGGTGGTTGTTAGCCCAAGAATGACTAATCAAGAGGGGGGTGAATTGGTTATTAAAATTTTTTCGTTAATCACTCAAAATTTTAAGAAGTGAGCACACAAATGATAGAGAATAGTCTAA